ATCTCGGGTCAAGATCTTTATGTTTTTTACTTTTCTCAGTTGATATAAGCTGGAGTCAGCACAGAAACCCTAAAATCCTAATGTAAATGATTGCAAAAAGCATTAGGATTAGCATTCACTCAGTTGCTACAACAGGATAATCTACTTTCATTTTTGTAGTTTCCGGAGGCATGGCGCCATGGCCCTAACCATCAGAATAAACCCGTATGCTTATTAAAGGTGCAGATTCCTGCACCCCACCCCAGACCGACTGAATCAAAATTTCAAAAATTGATCCTATAAATCTACATTTTTAATAATTTCCCAAATATTTGTTTTGCACACTAAAGTCTGAGAACCTCTGCCAGGAGGCTGGACCCCAGAAAATGGATTTGCCTCACTTTGTAAATTTCCAGCATGGGTCTGGCTTCTACAGACTATGAACAATTCATTTAACATAAACTCCACATCCACTTACGACCATAAAAATAAGTAGGGCATTTTGTTGATTACTTTTGTGCAAATAGGCATTTCTGAAGTAAGTAGACTAATATTTTATGGCAAACACTGAAAAAAAACCTGGAAATGAGTATAAAAAGAATTCTCAAGGAAAACAAAGCTCAATTCTGAGCCCCACAATGGTCAACGTCTGCTATGCGCCAGACTGAGGAGACACTGATGGCTAGAGAGACTAGGTCCCTATCCTTATTTTTCCTTTATTTATGCATTTAAATAGTTTAATATACACTCAAACAAAAAAGGAAGACGATTTCAGAGTGGCAATGCCACGAATGCAATAAAACAATTTCATGCGACAGAGAAAGTCTGTGGGGGAAGGAGGCAGAGGTAGTGGCTGTCTGTAGTAGACACAAGGATGAAAAATGGCTTCCCTGAGGAGGTAACATTTGAACTGAGACCTGAAGGAGAAGGCGCCAGTCATGAGAGGGTTGGGGGGAAAGTGTTCCCGACAGAGGAAACTGTGCTGTGAAGACCCTGAGCTGCGAACAAGGTGCTCATGAAATTATTACAGGAATTAAATCAGAAATCAGATCGCATATACAAGATGTTCTGCAAAATAGAAAGCTATTTAGAAGTATAAAGTATTATTTTTAGTAATATATTAGAACAGTTCTGGAGAGAAGCTGCAATAATGAAAGGCCTCAGATCTGTGTGATGTAAAGAATTAGTCAAGCAACTTGAGGCTATATTGCCTAAAGAACAATAGACACAAGTATGTGTTTGAGTGAAGAAAGGAGAAGTCTTCTTTGAATATTTGAAGAACTATGTTCTTGTGGAAGATGATTCATTTTTTTAAATAGCTCTGAGGGTATGGAACAACTTAAAATGGTAAACATTTTAGAAAGGTAGAAGAATCTTGGCTCATAATGATAATGAACACTCAAAGAGAGTGGTAGGAAAATGGACTGACTGGAAGGTAGTGAGTTCCATATGACCAGAAGTAATCAAGGTCGGGCTGAATAGACATTTGGCAGAGGAATGATTGGACTAGATTACCTAAGAGGACCTCCGCAATTCTTTGAAAACACACATACATTCACTCGAGGTGCTCTCTCTCTCACACTCCCTGTAACCTCCAAGATGGCCTCTTCAGTTCATGCTTTACAACTTTGGGAGGTTTTGAGAAAAACTTGAGAGATACTGAGGATTCTACCATATTCACAATTCACCCCGTCATTCTGCAATGAATTATATCTCCATGTCCATAATAACCAATATATATTTCAAAATGGCAAATTAAGAAACCAGATAGACCAACATTCATTTTTGAAATTTGTGGCTAAGATTTAGTGGTGTTTCAGCAGTGCACATTAAACAATTTATCTCAACATATTAAAATATTAAAATATACTTTATTGTAACAAAAACATTATCTGGATTCCATTAGCTCCCAATAGGTGGCATGCCAATAAATAGCCAAAATCTTTAGCACACAGGTATGTGGCTTTTTGTTGGTTTGGTTTCTAATGGGAACCATAGGCCCAGGAAGATGATTTCTACAATAAAAGTCCTGACAGAGAATCACTACTGTATTATTTCTGTATTAAATCCAATAAATAAAGTAAAAAACATAGTGACTTGTCACTTGACCACCTGGGACCAAAATGCTAAAAGGTAAGCCTTCTAAGGACAGAGAGACCAAGCCAGACTTGGGAGTGAGACTAGAAATAACTTTGAAAATCTGAACATTACTAAATGACCTTTATATTTCCACACCCAAATGCATGTGGTTCATATTCAGATAGATTGCAGAAAATATTCTCTTAATATCTACATTTTTGTGCACATTTGTGTTTATTGTATTAAGCACATTTCTTAAAAACTACTTGTAAATAAAATTCTATCATGTCTCTCTTAGGACAACTTACAAAAATGAATCTTTCCATAAAATAAAGACAACGTCTATGTAATTGTTCATAAAATTAGACTTCATTTTGTAAAATCCAGGAACACCAAAAGCTGAAATCAACAAGTTGAAATCAAAGGTTTAATACTTAATACAAAGAAAGAGTTTATCATGGAATTTTTTTTTTTTTTGTATACGGATCTCTTCTCAGGACTATGAAAATTTCTATGTATGCTTATAGTATTTTAGAAATATGTCTGTTCCATAGAAGGTAAATATAACCTGTAATGTGAACAATCACTTCCTAACTTATTTTTCTTTAGGCTCACATATATTAGATTGTGCTATTTTATTAAGCTGAATCCCTCAGAACTCAGGGTAACAAAAGGACTGGATTAGTGGCTCAGGAAACCCAGGTATCTCTGTCCAGAAGCAGGTGCCACCTAACATCTGAGTTGCCTAGACACCAATCTCTTAAATGAGTAGGGAGTTTTAATTCTTCAGATATATCATTACCATTACAAATCCCCAAAGCATTTCTAATGACATTTGTACCTGACTAATGCACAGAGAAGCTGCGATGCCACAAAACAATACATAGGGCTGGTAAAAGAGACCGAGTCTTCTGTCCCAGAGTCCAACATGTTCACCAGGACCTTTCTTGGCAATCTCCTTCCAGCTTGAGTGGTGTCAAAGTTTTGTAACGACCAATAATGGTATCTCTAGGATAATGTTAACAACATAGTTGGTGAATATCTTTCCTCTCTAAAAAAGATCTGAGACCTCTTGACACTTGTTTCCTTTCCTTATTTTTTTTTTCAGGCAACAAGAAATTCGGGATACTTGTGAATTTTCCAAACCTTCTCATCCTTAACTGAACCTCTTTGTTGCCTTATCTTGCAAGAGTGTACAGTCCACCTCTTAGAGGTGGACAAAGCTGTGAATCATGCCCCAAATGCATGTTCTACAGATGGGAAGAAGCATGGTACCGTGGAATGGCTCTAAGCTTGCCATGAAACCAGGAGCATGCCACAGAGTTGCAACTCCAGACTGTCAGCAAATCAGAAGTAATTTTCTACCTAAATCAGAGTTTAATTCATTAGCCCACATTAATTCACAAGTTCTAACCAATTTCTCAAAACGCAATAACACAATCTTCCAACCTAATTATCTTCATTGACAGCATTTAAAAGCATTTGCTGAGACACATTTCTTCCTTGTGTCAGACAGGATCAACGTCAAGTGAACAGCTTGGGTGGACGACATTCTGTCTAATTGCAAGGGGTTGCCATTTCAGGAACTAATCATTTCTTGCAAGGGAGAAATTCTCCCCTAGAGTGGACACCAATAAATAAATACCTCCCAATAAATAAAGGTTTAAATATGTACCTGTTTACAATTGTGTTCAGATTCTCAAGATCATCGTGTGTGTGTGTGTGTGTGTGTGTGTGTGTGTGTGTATACTCTTGGCATTCTGTTGAATTGGAAATATTACAATATAGATGACTTCCACAATAATTTTAATCACTTAGAGAAGTTTAGGGATCTGAAAAGAAACTTTTAAAAACAGAACAACAAAAGAGATAATTTGTAATGAAAACACCATCCCATCTAACTACCACTCAGGAAAAAGATATTTCCCTACAAATAATCATGAGAAAAGAACTGGGTTTTTTTGAAGGCATTTATTTCAAAAGCTCATTCACTAAAACCCCCTAAACTTTAATCCAAAACAGTTCATTTCCATTTCCTTTTGATAATCAGAAAGGAAATCAACCCACATTTTTTAAACAGTCATTTTTTTTAGATCCTTTACTGGGGGGTAATATCTTTTAAAAGCATTTTGAATGAACGTATAAGCAAAAACTACTAAAAAGACAAAACATACTTCTTATTCCTCATGTCAAGTTTAACTTTTATTTATTTCCTACCTTCTAAAAGTCATTGCTGCCATTAGGCCTTTGCTTTGTGAGGTAGCCAGGTTTCTCCTAACACTGTCCACTAAACTCATTCTAATTCATGCCCTGGGCCAATAACAAATCTACTTTTCCAGCTGTAATGCTTTAACAGCTTAAATTTCTTTTTTTTTTTTTCAACGTTTATTTATTTTTGGGACAGAGAGAGACAGAGCATGAACAGGGGAGGGGCAGAGAGAGAGGGAGACACAGAATGGGAAACAGGCTCCAGGCTCTGAGCCATCAGCCCAGAGCCTGACGCGGGGCTCGAACTCACGGACCGCGAGATCATGACCTGGCTGAAGTCGGACGCTTAACCGACTGCGCCACCCAGGCGCCCCTAACAGCTTAAATTTCTAAAGTAACAGGCATCTTTTGCTCCTTTGAAAACCAGTTCTGGCAGTGTGATGTAAAGGAAAGTAAACACTTAAAGAGGTTCAAATATGCAGCATCGGAATTCACATGTCAGATATAGACACTGTTGTATTTAATGAAAGTCAATGCCCAAATCCCGGATTCCAGTTTAGGCAATGGGACTACAGATATATTTTGAAAGATGGAGAGTCAATTAACAAGCACATAATTTTGTTGTAAATCTGTTATAAGACATAGATGAACAAGAAGGGACAGCATTTCTAATTAGCATGCATGAATCAAAAACCATATATACGCCATGCTATATTCAAATTAAATGAACCTACCTTATAAACTTGTCCATATGTTCCATTTCCAACAAGTTCCACTAATTCAAAAATGCCTGCAGGGTCCTAAAAGAAAATAAACAAACAACAAATATTCAGCACAATATTCTAGGCATTGTTGTAATCAAAAGCAAAAATTCAAAATAAGCAAATAAATAACTTTAGCTTTGGGGGTACTCATGTGTTAATATTAATTGCTATTAAAATTTAATTCAGCTACAGCTATGAAATTAGTCAAAATCTACTTTCTTTCCATTTTACATCTCTATGAGATGTGTTTAAATCAGACAAAAAGAGATATGACTTTCACTGAAACAATAACAAAGAATTAACATATTTCTCACAGTCAGATGGAAACACACTTGCAGGTACATCAGGATAAAATGAAAGAGCCATCATCCTGAGAAAGGATTCTAATTTCTCAGATCTTTCTCTATGAAGCTTCTGAGCTGTCCATTATGTTGAACACAGTCAAGAAGGGGGTGTTTCTGTGTGGTGGGGCAATCTTACATAAGGTAGTCAATGGTTCCCAAGAGCAAATGCAACCAACATAGCTGCCTCTGGGGCACCTGGGTGGCTCAGTCAGTTAAGCGTCCAGCTCTTGGTTTTGGCTCAGGTCATGAGTTCACGATGCGTGAGTTCCAGCCCCGCATCGGGCTCTACACTGTCAGTGCAGAACCTGCTTGGGATACTCTCTCTTCCTCTCTCTCTAGCCCTCCTTTGCTTGTGTTCTATCTCTCTCTCTCTCTCTCTCTCTCTCGCTCTCTCAAAAATAAATAAATAAACTTTAAAAAAAAATACAGCTGCCTCTCTCAGCATGTTTTTCTTTGGATTCATCTTCCCTCTTTACAAGGCTGTCCTTGCAAAATATGTTTCTGTGGATGGCCTCCAGATCCTGCAGTACCTGAAGAGTCCCTGCAGGATTTTGAAGACAAACTAAATTGGAGATTGATGCAAGTCCTTACCACCAAACAGGTGTCACCTAACCCTCAGAGTCAGCTAAATGTTAGGGTGCTCAACAAATGTCCAATGAGTGCTACTTCTTACTAAATTACTGTCCACAAAAGTTGAAAAAAATATCAAAGCCTATAAAATTCAACTCAGAAGCATAAACTGACTCTGACCTCCACTGATATCTAATTGGACAGAAATTATTTCTTTAAGGGCCTAAATGAAGAATCACAAACTTAAACGTCCACAGAGGCTAAGCAAGTAACATAAGAGAACAAAGTGCAAGGTGCCTGTGGCTCAGTTGGTTAAGTGTCTGACTTCAGCTCGGGTCATGATTTTGCAGTTCGTGAGTTCGAGCCCCATGTCAGGCTCTGTGCTGACAGCTCAGAGCCTGGAGCCTGCTTCAGATTCTGTGTCTCCCTCTCTGTCTCTGTGCCTCCCCCACTCATTCTCTCTCTCTCTCTTTCTCTCTCTCACACACACACACTCTCTCTCAAAAATAAATAAACATTAAAAAAAAAAAGAGTGAAGTGGGCCAGCTGGGGTCTGTGGCAGCCTGAAGAAGCCATGTCTCCCTGCAGAGAGGGAGGTAACATAGCTGGGACCAGTTGGTTCTTACATTAACCTATGAGCACAATATTGCCAGGTCTGAAGTTTTGTGTTTTGTTTTTGTGTTTTGTGTTTTGTGTTTGTTTGTTTCCAAGATGTTCTAATTTTTATTTTTTTAAGTTTCTTTATTTATTTCGAGAGAGAGAAAGAGAGAGAGAGAGAGAGAGAGAGAGAGAGAGAGAGAGAATCCCAAGCAGGCTCCTCACTGTGAGCACAGAGCCTGATGCGGGGCTCGAACTCACGAACACATGAGATCATGACCTGAGACAAAATCAACTGTCAGAGGCTTAACCGACTGAGCCACCCAGGTACCCCTGTCTTAATTTTTAAATGTTAGGCGCGAACTGTGAGGGAAGGCCAAATAAAAAAAGGCTGCAAAAGCGTCAACACTTTTGTAAGAGCACCACCATATATTGTCAGGGTGACTGAGAGGCAGGAGAGGGAAGGCCTGGGCTTTGGATTCAGACAGACCTGGGTCGAATACCAGCTTTCCCTTGACTGGCTGCATGATCATAGGACACCCTGGGAGAGCACCTCAGTCTCTGGGCAGAGAAAACAGATATGACATGCGCCTTGCAGAGCTCTGATGAGGAGTGAGTGAGGGCCTAGCACTACACGCTGCACATGGTTGGCAATCGGCTAACGTGTTAATAGCAGTCATCCTGAAGCTGAGGGTCTGCACACCACTAGCAGCATTTAAAAGGTGAAGGGCTGCTCGAGGCTGCCATGCATGGGGAAGGAGACAAATGAGTTTGATGTGACAAGCGAGAGTCATTTCGAGTTACAGTCTTCAGCACATCAGGCCCAAGGAAAGCCCTTTGCTGTATGCCTTTGAAGTCTCTGCAGAGAAAACAAATTAAAAAATAAAACAAAAGCCCAGCAGTTGAAGCACGTTGTCACCGAGAAAGATTGTCATCTGCGTAATCCATCGTGATAAAGCCAGGAGGGCAAGAAACCACACTCCACGGTCTGAGAAATCCGGAGGTTCCAGCCACGCCCCACGTGGTCAGGGGGTGTGGACAACGTTCCAGAGGGAACCCTGTGACAGCAGAGACGGTAAGGGCCCAGGGCCCTGTCAGCGGAGACCCCGTGGCTAACAGAGCACCTGGGAGGCCTCAGGATGGGAACAGAAAGTTGTGTGTGTGAGACCGCCAGGCCAGCAGAACAGCAGGTTCTATTACATGCAGGATTAGAAAGAAATGAGGGAATGAACGGTGGGGGGAAAAAAGCCCACAAATGGTGGCAGCTGCTGTTTGTTTCTAAGTTGTGCTCCCAGTAGTTTGTTTTCTCAGCGGTGTTTCTGCAACAAATTTTGAGAGAGGTTCTACATTTGCTCGAAATATCTCAATTGTGTTTTCAACATTCGTTTTTCTTGACTAAAAAAACAGAATTTGAATGAAAGAGAGAAGATCCAGAAGGGTGACTACCACCTGCCTTAGGGAGCCTAGGAAGCAGTGGGGGAGGGGATGGTGGAAGGGGAGGGCAGGAGCAGAGCGGGACGAGCTTCTAGGCCAAGGGGCCACCCCACCTCACAGACCCTTCCTCAGGGCTGAGGTTCAATGGGCTGATCTCAAGAGCATCTGGGCAACTGACTTCTAGCTCTTTCCTCTTGAACAGTCCACTAATGGGCCTATGTCTCAGCCAATCAGGACCAAGGAAGTGCAATGCCAAGACTTTTGTTCCAGCTGCTGGGAGAGGGGTCTTCCAGCTGGGTGCATCCAACGGACTCAGAATTAAAGGTGAGAGTAACCACAGGGATGGATTGGTGACCACCTTGGGTAGACAAACAAACTAGAAACAATCATGAAATTGGGGTGGTTCTCCAGGAAATGGGACTCAGAATTACTGAGATTTACACAGAGGGATTTTATCAGGGTGTTCCACGGAATCAACACCAGTTGGGAATGAAAGAATTCGGATTGGAATGAGCAGACAGAATGATGCAACGGAACCAAAACTTCATCTGATCCCACAGGAGCTCTGGAGCCGAGGCGACTCTTCAAAGTTATCCTACCCCGGGGCACGGGAGCCTTTGCACCCCACCTCTATTGACTAGTCATTGCATACAGGCTGTCCGCTGTCCCCATCCCAGAGGTTATGATCTTGTGTAAAGTGACACTCTTCTGCTGGGGACAATCCCCAGGTGAGAACAATCACTAGCTGCCTTCACTCCCAGCAGGTGGACCCCAGCAGGTGGACAAGGAGTGCCTCAGGAGCAAAGAAGGCAACTGGGTGACACATCACCCAGTTGGCTAGAAACGAGTACCAACGTGGAACTGGTTGAGAAGTCGAGAAGCAGCTATCTTCTACAGTATGGTGACAATAATAAGACAATAATAAGACAAAATGGCACAATTCGGGTCATGGTATTTACAAGGAGGAGGCTCTCTGAGACCCTGGAAAGCAGAGGGCAGACATATTGTCCAGGAGCACTTGAATTAAGCACTTATCCTAAGCTTCCCTCTCCCCTACCTCCACTCCAAATACCCAAGAGCTTATGTTTGTGAATACTCCCATACACAAATGCATCTAACTGCTAGTTAGGCTCTTGTGGAATAATGCTACAGCTTGAACTGGGTAAGCATTCATTCATGTGTTTTCCCCACTCTTGGAGAACTCTAAAATAATTTCTCCCAAGGGTCACCAATGACCTCAATCTCTTATCTATAATGGTCTCTTCTCAGTCCCGTCCTGGCTATTCCCTTTGAGGCATTTATACTGCCAAGCATCATCACTCTTGCTGAAATATGTCCCCTCCCTTGTCTTCTAGCATACCACTCAGTTTCTCACAGAGATTCTGTTTCTTCCACCCAGACCTTAAAGATAGGCTGACCCCAACGTTCCAACCTCATGCTGGTCACTAAGTACTAATGATTTCATCTCCCAATATCCATTATATCCATCTACTCTGTTCTGTTCATACAACAGGCCTCATCTTCTCTTGCCGGGACTATTTGCTTTCAATAAATTCTTTCCTCCTTCACACTGAACTTTCTAAAAAGACACAACACACCATGCTTTAGAATCCTACACAGTGTGGTTCAAGTTGAAAGTCGAGGTCCTGTCATTCTCAGGCCCAGTGTTCATTCCCACTCTCACGTCCCATCATTTTGTACTACAACTAACCGACTCAAACCACCCGCTATGTCCCTAGCACACCTTACAGGCCATGTCTCTTTGCCTTGGTTCATAATGTCTGTCTGCCAAGATTATTCCTTCTACCATTCAGGCAAGCCCAGCCTTAAAAGCCCAGTATGCCACCTCCTCTGTGAAGCTTTTCTCAAATTAGTACCACCAACTCTCTGCACCCACAGCACGTTGTACATAGCTCTATCATAACCACTTTCACCCAGTGCCACTCCCTCTCCCATTTCTTTCCCTTGATAAATTACAAATGCCCTGAAAACAGGGACTATAACATATTTATTTTAGAATTTCTGAGCACTTAGCATGGTGTCCAACACAGAACTTTGAGACATAACTATTTGCTGAATAAGGTTGATGCC